ACACTGGGCAGCTGGGTAGCTGGGTCCTCATTGCAAAGGGAGAGCACTGCAGGGAGCTTCACAGTGTGTCCTAAGTGAACAAAAAATAACAGACCTTCATAAAGTGAACGTGAGAACGGAGGGAAAAATGGGAAAGGGGCTCAGAGGAGAAGAAAAAGTGAAAAAAAATAAAGATTAAAAAGAAGGGAAGAGCCTTAGGGAGGAGGGACAAACAGGAAATATGGATACAAAGAACTCACCAGTGTTTCATAAACCAAAATCCAAGACCTGTCAGAAGAGCCAGGGCCACTATCACAGCCAAGAAGATCCAGCCCAGAGATTTTTGAGGTGCTGGAGATTCAAGTGGACATCAGGATGTTGTTTAGAACTTAATCTACAAAATACTTATTTTAAATTCTTCTATTCTTTGAATTATATATTTTTCTTCTTCTTTGATAGAGAATTTGTAAGTCCCAATGTTTCCCCCATCCTCATGCTCTGCTAGAAGACCTTCACCCATATCCAGCCAGGGCCTCAGCCCTTTCTCACCCCAGTAGAGGACGAGGTCCTGCCCTCCTAGGCTGCTGTGCTTCACCCTGCAGGCCAGGCCAGCCGCCTCCCCAGCTGCCACATCCAGGGTTGCTCGGAGATGCCACGTCCCATCTGCATTGGGCAGGATGTCACCTCTCTGGGTGCCCAGCTGCTCCTGCTCACCTCGCATCCACATCACCCACATGGGCTTTGGGTAGAAGCCAGACACATGGCACACCAGCAGCAGATGGCCAGGCCCAGGGCTGGGGCCACTGGACAGCCAGGCCTCAGGCTTCACTGCAAACAACAGAAAGGACATCCAGACACAGACTGTAACATGGACTTATAAGTTCCGAACTTCCACATAAGCCTGCGAAGACATATTGTTCCCACTTCTGAAATGTCACACATTATCCTCTTTTTATCATGAATTTGACTTTAAAATAGAAAAATTCTTGGAGTGTTAGATACAAGACTGACCTTGTTGCTGGAGATGAGCCTTCCCTGCATCTAGAAGACCCAAGGCGAAACGTGGGCAGGTGTCAGTGAGGAGCATATGTACCCTATGTTTGTAGGCTTCATTCACATTGAGTAATCTGCAGGCTTTCTGGGCCCTTCTTCCACCCTCTGGAGATGGTGACCATGTTTCATTCTGGAAGCTCAGGAAATCATACCCTCCAATAGCTACATGCATGAAGCCCTTCCCAGAGTGGACATCACAGCCTGCTGCCATCTGTAAGTCAAAGGGATCTAGGGAAGAAGAGTCATGAATTAGAGGAGAAAAGAAAGAAAGTGGAGAAAATGGAATGAGTGGAAGCAAAAGACAACAGAAGCAGAAGGGAGTTTGGGGAGTTTAGGGGATGGACCACAGTGTGGTTTGACCAGAGGTTCACAGAAAAGGGAACTGGTAGGAGCTGGAGGTGGAGGAAGAGATGATAATATGAGGAAGGGAGGGGATTGTTCAAAGGTGATAGTGATGGTG